GAGGGGGGTAACACCTAATAATCTCATGCCTACTGTTAATGCTTTTTTTTTCCTCCGACTTTTTGCAGCTCTGAAATCAGGTCACGATTATGATTTCCTGGGCACGAAAAGCTAGCCTAGACAAAGGTAGCCAAATTGGAAACCAAACTGCTAAAACATAATTTGTAGTGTTGTCATCGCAGCTTCTTCGCCTTCTGTTTGTATTTCATTCACACCTTTAGTGGAATTTACTGTTGAAACGCTTGTTTTGTCCTGGAATGATCAGTTAAATAACAGCCTTGATAATTGGCTAACGGAAGAGGTCTACTACTTTAACTTATAAGCTTACATATAAATATATTTCAAGTCAATACTGTGTCGAATACCTAAAAATTACTTGATTCCAAAAAATCCGTGCGCAATTTTCCAACAGATTTTGGAAAACTCCTTTGAACTTTTGGACAATGGGATTCAAAACTTGCGCAATTTTCCGCCTCCATACTGTTCACGTCTTTCGTATTCAATACTCGCCGTCTGCTCTTTAGATCTATATCTATACCTTTACCCGATCAAATATCAAGTAGTGAGTTCAAATTCAGCTACATTTGTTGTTCGCATCTCTCTCCATCAGCTGTCTACATCTAGATTTTAGATCTAACCGTCGCCGTCATCTCGTTTTGTTAGATCCAACATTTCGGCCGTTGTAACAGATCTGACCAGGAAGGAACAGCTACATAATATTAAGCATGCCTGACCAAAAAACAAATAAAACAAATAGGCAGTCTGGGGAACAAACACAGATTCCCGGTAAACGAGTAGCCTTTCTGCGAGATGAGGATTACAATATTATGCTCGCTAAACATTTGCAAATCAACCGAAATACTGCATACAGTACCGTACACCGACCGATCGAAACTGACGACGTTGTCGAAAAGAGATTTGGGAAACAACGAAAATAAAAGATGAGCTGGTTTCGATAGCCGAAAGCCAACCAGATTACCCTTTCAACAAAATAAAAACAGGTATTCGATTGGCTCTGCCATACTCATACACTTCTCGCATTGTCGCTGCGGCTATTTTGAACAGGTTTTAAGGGAGAGAGAGAGAGAGAGAGAGAGAGAGAGAGATAGGGAGAGAGGGAGAGAGAGAGAGGGAGAGAGGGAGAGAGAGAGAGAGAAAGAGAGAAAGTGAGAGAGAGAGAAAGTGAGAGAGAGAGAAAGTGAGAGAAAGAGAGAGAGAAGGTGAGAGAGAGAGAGAGAGAGAGATAG